TGAATTTTCCCCATTAAGCTTTCTGTGGTGTATAGTTCATTAACTAATGCTGGGTCAAGGTGTCGTTTGAATATGTTTGTGTTGAATAGTCTCGTTTGGTAATTGTGTGTCGGTGAAAACTGGGAAATGGTATTTCGAACGTATAGTTGTCTTCGACAACGAGTAATATGAATAGCTGGTTTTTGAAGGCATTTATTGGTGCTTCTGTGGCTATGGTCAGTAGTCGTTAGAGTATTAACGTCAGTCTGTGGAGGTCTCTATAGCGCGTCGGCAACCACGTTTGTCTTTCCTAGTTTGTACTTCATTTCATAGTTGTATTCTTCAAGGATGCATTTCCATCTTTTCATTTTTCCGTTATAGTTTTTATTACTCAATGCATAGGTTAAGGGTTGGTGATCTGTGAAAATTATTACTTTGGGTGAACCATACAAATAACTTCTGAAACTATTAAGTGCCCATATTATCGCCAGCATTTCTTTTTCATTTGCTGCGTAATTTTCTTCGTCTTTACTTAGTGAACGAGATATGAATGCTATGAGTTTGCCTGATTGTTCTAAAATTGCTCCGAGAGCATAATTAGATGCATCGGTGGTAAGGTGGAAGTCTTGATTTAAGTCAGGATATGCCAGTATTACTTCTTTTAAAACAAGTGAGGATTTTATTTTGTTGAAGGCTTCTAGTGCTGCGTTATTGAGTATTATCTGCTTTTTACTGGATGCATTTTTTGAAATGCGTCCATCCTCCCCTCTTAAGAGCGAAGTAAGGAGTTTTGCTAACTTAGCATAATCCCTTATGAAGCGGCGATAATAGCCGGAAAGGCCAAGGAAAGATCTTAAGTCTTTCAAAGTTTTTGGACATGGGAATTTTTGTATAGCTTCAACTTTTGAAGGGTTAGTTTTTACACCATTTGGTGAAATGATGAAGTCTAGAAATTCGACTTCATTTCGGAAGAATTCGCATTTGTCAAGTTGCACTTTCATATTTGCTTCTTTGAGAGTGTGAAATATTTGTTCAATATTTTGGAGATGGCTTTCTTCGTTTTCACCGAAAACTATTATGTCATCGTTGTAGACATAGCAGATTTTACCTATATAGTTTTTTAGAATATCATCTAAGGCTCTTTGAAATATTGAAGGCGCGTTTTTCAGCCCGAATGGGAGTCGTGTAAACTCATATTTGCCATTATTGACAGAAAATGCTGTTTTCTCAATGTCGGATTCTTTTAAAGGAATTTGGTGGAATCCACTTTGTAGATCCAATACGGAAAAGTATTTATTATTCCCTAATTGCGCAATGATTTCATTTATTTCGGGTATGGGGTATTTGTCGGAAATAGTGACATTATTTAATTTTCTATAATCAATTACGAGTCTAAATGTTTTTTCGCCGGAAGCGTCTAGTTTTTTTGGGACAACCCACACAGGTGAGTTATATGGAGAATGTGATGGTCTTATTATCCCATCGTTGAGTAAGGTTTGGATTTCCTTAGTGACAAACTCTCTCATGCCAATAGGATATGGATAATATCTAGTGTAAACGGGTGTATTTGAAGAAGTTCTGATTTCGCCTACTACGGTGGTAGTGTAGGTCAGTCTTTCATTGTTATTATTTACCGTAGGGGAAAGTTTCTGCTTGATTTTTATTTCTTTACCATTACCGAACCTAATTATGTCATCACGAATGTTTATAGTAGCATTGAGGTATTTGAGGCTATCGTTTCCGATAATACCATCAAAAGATTTCAGTCCTGGTAGAATGAAAAATTTCAAATTCGAATTGTCTATGTGGGCTAGATTAAGTATGGTATGATGGGTAATTTGGATTTTTCCTGCTATGGAATTTGCAAAAAAAGGTTCTTCATTCGGAATGGGTTTAGCCACAAGCTCTGGTTGTATCTAATTGTTGCTTGATCCTGTATCTATAAGTATTTTTAAAAATTTTCCGTTCTTCGTTCTAAATTCTATATATGGCAACGAAGAACTTTTCATCCTAAAATATTAACATCTATGTAGTCGGGTTGGTTATGTTCGGATTGTTCTTGGACTAGTTGCTCAATCTGTTCATTGTCTAGCATTGTTTCGTATTCTTGTTCGGTTGAATTCAAATTCTGTTCGTCATGTTGGTATTGTTGATCATATGGATATTGTTGGTCGTATGTGGCTTGTTGGAAGTATGGACCTTCCGTACCGGTTTCTATATGAAAGTTCCTCTGTTGTTTGAAAGGCACTTGTTGAGATAAATTTGACGGTCGTTTCCATGCTTGGTTATTGGGTGCATTTCTATTCATGTAGTTAACCACTTTTAAATGTAGAGAGCGGTCTACATCCATAAGCTCTGGACGTGGGAGTCCGAAAGGTCGTGGGTGCTGTGGCCTAGCAGGAGGTTGATATGTTGGCCGAAAATTTGGAGAATTGCGATGATTAAAAGTATGCTGTGGCCGTTGCTGCGGCATGAAGTTCTGTTTAGGTAAATATGGTTTAGGAATATAAGCCAATTGTGGATAGAACTCGTTGGTTACTTTTCTAGGTGGAAGAGGTGGCTTAAAGTCTTGGATTTCTGATTTTCCAACTTAAGGCATAAGTGAAGGGCTTGAGTTAGGTCTACGGGTTCCCTCATGCCAAGGAGTCTTGGCAAATCACCATTAAGTCCTCGAATAAAAGTGTTAAGGGCTTTGTCACGATATGTTCGTGTAAGTAAATGCATGGATTCCGCACTGACTTCCATGCAACCAAGTTTATTAAGAATAAGAGATAGGTGGGAATATACCCTTTGGTAGAATTCCTGAATGGTATAGCTACCTTGAACTAATGATGTCATTTGGTACTCTAAGGTACCTATGTCCCTTTTATCCGCGTAATGGAGAGCAAGACATTTTGAAGTAGCCTTCCACTCCAAAGGTGTGTTATATGATTCGAGAGCAATATCTGCGTTGCCCACGATTTTGTTTCTTATAACATTAATAATACCATAGTATTTTGGCGATCCTCTTTGAGGTTCTTATATTTCTAGTATTCGGTCTACGCTTTTCTTCCATGAATTGAATTCGCCTGGATTCCCGGAAAATTCGCGAAGGCATCTTACCACATCGGGGATTTTGTCTAGTTCGCTAATGTTGTTTGTTAATGTAGGGTCTATGGTGACGTCCGTTGTGTTTGAAAAGTTTGCATTCGGATTAAGGGCGGCCTGAACTAGGTTCCGTCCCTCTTGTCTTAAAATATTTGTGACTACGCCACTTATAATGTTTGTCAATTGTTCTAGATTCATTTCGTTAGGATTAGGAATAGGATGGGATGGTTGGGTGTTTCCTGCAGTAGGTGCGTTCAGCACACCAGGTCTTATGGGATTGGTTGGCATATTTTGTTAGATATTTGCAATGATTTTATTTTATTTTGGTTAGGTGTCCTTATACTCTGGAGGGTCCCTTTGGTGGTGAATCGCAGAGTTGGACTCTAGTTATTTAGAACCGTAGGGTCCCCCGTTAGGTGGTGAGTCGCGGTTCTTTTTTTATTCTTGAAAGTTATTGGCTGTACGAGCCTTTTTTATTTTGATTTGTAATTTATAATTATCTGGAGGGTCCCTTGGGTGGTGAATCGCAGAGAAATTTATTTTTATAAGCTGGAGGGTCCCCCCGAAGGTGATAAATCGCAGCTTCTATTTTTATTTTTTTTTTATTGGCTGTACGAGCCTATTATTATTTAGGGTTAGTAAATATACAAGTTTTAAATTTTAATTTAAATAATAGTAATTCGCAAAACAGAATACATTTTAAATTCTTAAAATTTTTCTTTAAATATTTTTTCCTTTTCAGTTTCCTTTTTTTTATTTAAATGCTTAGAAAATTTCAACAGAATACTTTGTAAATTCTTAAACTTTTTTCTTTAAATATTTTTCTTTTTCAGTTTCTTTCTTACTTTGTTTTATTTAAATGCTTAGAAAATTTTAACAGAATACTTTTTAAATTCTTAAAATTTTTCCTGTAAGTATTTTTTATTTTAAAGGTTTTTCTCTTAGTTTGTTTTATTTAAATGCTTAGAAAATTTCTTAATATTAGGTGCTTACTTATTACTAGCCTCCTGGCGCATGGGGTGTCCTCCCGTTTGTTCTTTACTACTAAGGTTCCCTCGTTACGCACGTATAGAGGGTGCGTTTTCTTCCTACTGGATCCTAACGCGTGGTTGACGAACCAGCTCGTTTGGTCCGGGTGCCTTGGTGTTATTTCTCGGGGTGGGTGAAGAGACAAAACCAAAGTGCATGTGAAAAACAAAATATACAGAACTATGTAAGCAAAGAAAAAAAAACAGAAAAAAAACTAAAACAAAAATTGGGCGCGAAACCTAAAAGCACTTAAACACAAAACAGAAAAAAATAAAATAAAATAATATATTGACACATACATAAAATCAAATATGTAATTATTTAATGCCTATCTACTAGCTTACCTTTGTGTATTCAAATACACTAATTAACAAACACAAAAAACAAATTTAAGTATATTCTTGCACATTTCTACAGCAATACCCCTTATGTTAAAAAAAAGACAATAAGAAGGATTGCATAAACTAAGTAAGCAAAGGCACAAGTGCATATCAAAATTATAAAACATAAACAATTACGTAAACATAAAACAAGAAGAAAACTTCAAACATACATAAACGTTTGTTTACTTAATGCATATAATATACCTACATACATATATTCCTAATATACATATATATACGTATATACAAAACTTTATCAAACTGCATAATAAACATAAAACAGTGCTAACTTATTACAAATTGACAAACGTACTATATTCAAAGTACATACGGGAGAATACCATAATATTCACTTCGCTTTTGCGCTCTCTTCGCTGTGCGAGCATACATACATACGTATATATACACATTTATATAAACAAACGGCAGTTAATATATCTGTAACTTTATCTCTTATGTTAGTAACCGGATTTTAAGTTCTCAAATCGTCGTTTTTTAACTTAAAAGAAAGCTATTTGTGAGTTCTTTTAATCGATTTTTATTTATTTTTTTTTAAATAAGCTTAATCTCTAGCCGGTTTTAACTTTTGGAATCTCTGGACCAGGATTTATCACGACTGTTTCTGTCAGTATATGGCCTACACTTTCAATGGCAATCTTTGTTGAGAAGTGGCGCATTACTTGTGGATTCGCCGTGCGATGTTCAATCATCGGCAATGCTAGTTCTTCACTAAGTTTGCACATAAATTGACGACGTTCTGTCGTTTCGAATTATTTGCTCCAGCACAAATCAAGATATCGAAGAACGAATAAATTTCGGGTATCGTAACGGGCTTCCATTGATGATGTGAGTTTGTATGGTTAGCATTGTACTCTTGAAAAAGTGTTTCAGCTTTTTTATTAGTGTGGTGGACGATTATATCAACCATTTCGTAGGTAAAATTTTTTTTGAAAGTCTCGCTAATTGACAACGTTTCCGTAGTGCGATGAGGCCCACTCCGCTGGCGTAGAACATTATGAGCAACAGTCTGTGCTGAGTTGGTGGAGTTTTGTTCCACACTGTTTTATCTTTGGCAATAAAACTCCCAGATGGTTCTTGAGCTTAAGAAAAAGAATTATTATTTTAATCTTTGCCAAGAACAAATATTTTACTACCTTTAGGCGCAGCTGTTTCTACTTCATTGTCATCATCCTCACTCTCGCTACTCTCAACTTCTTCTTCTACTGCTGAATTATCTTCTGCGATTTCTTCTGTATCTTCAGAATCTTCTGGTTCGTCACTCACTGAATTATCTTGTTGATTTTGATGTCTAGCTCTTTTTGCTGGAATCCAGTCTTCGTCATCGCTAACAGAAACCCTACTCGAATCTCTGCCGTGTTCTTCAAGTAGTTTCCTTTCGGTTGCACTTAACCTAATAAATTAAATATTATGTGATATACATTGTATTTAAATATTGTAATTAAAATATTTACAAATGTTAAATATATGTAACGTTTACTTACCGAGCATAGTCAGCTCTCGATAATTGTTCCATAGCTTTATTTTTCACTGTCAAGAGAACACCAAATGAAACTCGTCTGATCCCACCAAAAATCTGTTACATACTCAAAAATGCTCGAATCTAACAACTCTGCGCGATAGAAAACAAAGAAATAACCTTGAGTTTTTCTTTCTCTCTCGAACGACATCAGCTCGGCTCCGAACAATAAAAGCCGTTCGACTACCTGGGGTGTCCCAAATAGGTTTCAGATGTCACTCACGATGCTATGTTGTTATTTTTTTTTCTTTAAATTGATAAAATAAACAAAATTTTTAATACTCAGATCGTACCCCAGTACGCGGTTGCTAAAAGACGTCGGTAAAGTTGGTTACTAACATAAGGGTTATACCCTATTTTGGGACCTAATAAATTTATTTAATATCCATTTAAAAAAAAGAAACAATTATCATAAATTTCGAATATTATCAAACGGCAATAAAACAAATATATGATAAACGAATTTGTTAAAAATTTAAATTATTAAACACAATATACAAAAAAAAAATTCCCAACAACGTACTTACATACATATGTTACATATATTGGTATTTACAATTTTACATACATTCAAAGTCATCATAGGCAATTAACCGGCAATACCCCTTGTTCTTTAGCAAACAAAAACGAGCTCTCAATTGCATAAAAAAACAAAAATAAGCACATACATACATACGCACAACAATTCGTGCATACTTATGTACAAAGCGCATTGATCTCTTCAACGAGCTCTCAATTGCAAAAGAACCTAACTCCGTACAAACAAGTCAATATTAGGAGATACCTACATTCTTCAACACAAGGACATAAAAAGTATTAATAATTACAAGTGCGGTTTCATGAAAAAAAATATGTATATGTATATTGTATATCTAATAATAACAATAATAATATTGCAAGTAAATACCAAACTGTATTAATAAATGTTTTACTAATATAATATAAATAACAAATACTTATTTACCGAAAAGAGTAATAAACTTTATTGCTTTATTCAAATCAGTATACACTGAGAAAATTTTAATTCCTTTTGACACTTATTTAAACATATAATGTTGATAACAAACAACATACACCTGGAGCTACACGCTCAAAACAGGTTGCTATATTTATTTCAGAAAGTGACAGGTTAATTAGATACTGCACTAGGTTTTCATCTTCACCGATTCAAGACAACTCAGAATCATTATTAAAAATAAAAAAACCAAAATCTTAATCAAGCGGATCTACCACAAAATTTAAAACCTCGGCTTTCGCCAATAATGAAAACTGCTTAGACCAGTACGAAGCTACAAAAGTTATGATCTCCGATCAGTTAAAGATAATAAAATCTATTGCACCTACTCCACATCCGAGAGTAGAGCTGCCACAAGTACAAAATCAAGAGGCAAGTTCAGGCATCCACCTCGAGGTGCCCGCATGTGACACAGAAACATTTCTTGGAGGTTATGAAGAATGCCCATCCTTCCGGGTCATGTTTACAGCCGTTTACATCAACCATCCGAAATTATCAAAAGCGCAAAAATTGTATCACCTCCGATACAAAACAGAAGGTTAAGCAGGCGTAATAGTCAAACAGTTCTCACTTATTGACGAAAATTTCAATTTGGCTTGGGAAGCTCTAAAATCCAGATATGACAATGAAAGAATATTGGTCGATAAACAAGTAACGACACTAATAAACTTGCTTAAGATTCAAAAAGAAACCAGTGAAGAGTTTATAAGACTACAATCCACTGTTTCAAACTGTTTGTCGGTTTTATCGACACAAAATATTCCCACAGACAGCTGTGGTCCTATACTGGTAAACATATGCACCACCGCATTACCAGAAAAATTGCTCTCATCACGAAAGAAATGCCCCCCGTGGCAACAAATGAATGACTTTCTAACTACCCAGTGCGAAATCGCTGAAAGGGTAGATAAAAAACTAATTAAAACAAAAATTGTTCAACACGACCTAAAAAGAAGCATCAATAGACCCCAAGCTAGTAGCAAAAACAAATTAAACAGAAGCTTTTACAAAACTTTCACATCCGAACAGAATACACATATGTCATGCGAACTATGCACAAGAGGGCATAAGCTACAATCTTGCGAGATATTTAAAAAATTAAAAATTCACGAAAGAAATAATTTTGTAAGGTCAAAAAGATTATGTACAAATTGCTTGTCAAATATGCATACTCATTAAAATTGCAAAAGCAAACTCATTTGAATGTATTGTCGAAAAAGACATCACGCAATGCTTCACTACATCACATTTCCCAGCTCACCCCAAAAGAGCGCATTAGTACAAAAAGAACCACGGGTTTAGTTTCAACTGCAAATCCGGAAGTGCGAAATCCTGAAAATTGCCAAGAAGCATCATGCTGCTCAAAGGCGTTAAAAACCCAAACACAGCGAAAATCAAAGTAGAGTACTACTACCCACAGCAGTCTCCATCGAAAACCGAGGAGAAATATTTAAACTTAGGGCTTTAATAGACCAAGGATCACAACGATCATTTATAGCGTCTAGGGCACAAAATAGGCTACAACTGCCAACAAAACAAGCCAACTTTGAAATTACAGGTATGGGCGGAAGGGTAGTTCAAACCTCTAATAAAATCTGCCCCATTACCCTAATTTCCCCCTAAGCGGATAGGAGAATTAAAGCAGAAGCTATAGTCTTATCGCAGCTAACAAATATGGTTCCAAGCTATCATATAAATAGCAAACATTGGGAAAAGGTTTCACACCTAAAGCTGGCAGATCCTAACTGCAACACCCCCGCTCAAATAGATATTATAATAGGCAGCGACCTTATACCGCAAATAATACTTGAAGGTGTTGAAAAAATTTCAACCACCCTTCTAGCCCAAAACACTATATTTGGTTGGATTGTAAGTGGACTAGTTACAGAACCAGTTTCCACACCAACAATTGAGGAAATTTAGGGAGTTAGAAAAAGGCCCCTTCATATCAATTACAACCCCAGCAATTACAACTACTCGATCAAATAATGGCCGGTACGTCGTACGACTACCATCAGATCCAATTTTCCAACACTCCACGAATTGACACAAAAATAATATAAACTTAAGTCAGAATTTCCTTTGACAACCCCAATATTAAAAACACATACATATATAACTTTTCGACCCCGCAGGATGGCCTCCGTCACTAATAATACAAAAATACCGCTTCAAAAATCTTGAGCTATATGGCGCGCTACTACTTGCCGAATTAGTGCATATGCACTTAACATAACATATAAGAAAATTTTCCGAAGAAAGTCGAAAAATCGAAGCCTCTATTTTACATAATTATGTATATAACACTTCAAAAATAAAGTTAAGGGTACTTCCAATGTGATACAGTGACACACCCAGACTTACAATAAGCAAAGGTCGCACTTATCGCAACTAACTACCCGCTCATCATACGGGTAGTTTATGGAAAACACTTGTAAAAGTTGAAAATCTCACTTCAAAAAAGAGAGCGAAAATCGCAAATCTCACTCTCGCAAGATCCATCTTCAAAGGTCTCAAAGGAGCATCCATTCTGGCCACAAATGAGCCAGGCCTATCATCAATGATGCCGATGGAAAAAATAATATTTAAAGTACCTCAACAAGACCAAAGAACGCCAAACCTTAGATATTGTGTCCTTACTAATAATTCCGTAAAATGTAAAAAAAAGATCAAATACCATATGTTGTAAAATCAACAACAAATTCAAGTAGAGAGTAGATCAACATGACTACTCCTTAAAATCAGTAAAATTGCTTACGGTAAACACACCTAAATACATCCCAAATAAGTTTTAAAATCAAAGCCGTTTTCAACGTTTACTGCATGAATGCCACGCCCTAGGCTACTCCACCAGCAGTACGCCGACTACGTGTAATACTAGGCAAGGGGGCCCAGGATGTTTAAATGAGATAAGCCTTCCCTACATATACACACCACTCTACTCGGGAAAAACTGGCCCACCCTAGTATGACCCACCATACTCATACATCACCAAACGGGACAACACAAGACACCACAGCATCGCGCCTGTACACCACCTCAGCAAACAAAAAGGATGATCTCCGCAACAGATACACCTCATTCGAAATAATAGCGATCAGTTAACACGGTTCCTGCTTGCTGCCTTTGTTTGTTTTTGCGACAACTACAATCCTACGCGCTACATCTAATCCCAGTTTGGCTTATCTTTGCGCCTAAGGGGATTCCACGGCTTCAGCCTTCAACGTTATCTGTTTTCGATCCGTGCTTCCACTTGTACAGCGTTTGCAAACGAATAATAATTATTATTTAATTGAGTTAATAAATAAAATTTTAATAATTGAATATTATATTACGTATACAAATTATACGGATGTTTTGTTCACAATACTTTGTAAGAGTGTCTAATTATTCAATTAGCATGAAAATAAATCTTAGAATTTTAGGTAGGTAGGTAGGTAGAGTGGCTGTCTTTCGACACACCTAGGCATTTAGGAGGCCCATTGTGATACCACCGGGCCCAAAGTCCCCTCACTCTATTGGCTCCTCCTAAGACAAGTTTTATTCGTGCAACCTCCGAGGCGGCGCCAAGAAATCCTCGACCTATGGCTGCGATTCTTTTCCTATAGAGAGTCTTACAATCACATAGAATATGTTTAATGGTCTCCTCCTCTTCTACCTCCTGACGGCTTCTACAATAGTCGTTATATGGCGTTCCAAGTCTATTTGCATGTCTGCCTATTAGAGAGTGGCCTGCTAGTACTCAGTTTGAATTTTAACAGTCGGCATATGCGGCTCATATTCCATTCATGGCACGTTTGCCTGCTTATTGAGCAAGTCAGAGATTGACCCCACTGAGGCTCAGCTATGTTTATAACATGTTTGTAACATGTTTGTCGATTAAATATCTCCAAGTAGCCAGAGGCATATATATGCCCTCTTTATCAAAATCTAGTTATAAAGTGGTGCCTGTTCTGGCTAATTCTTCTGCTACACAATTCCGGGAGATATCGCTATGTCCTGGGACCCAGTTCAGGTTTTTCGTGAAATAGGATGTCAGATCCGCTAAGAGATCAAAGCATTCTTTCACTGTCTTAGAAGAAATCCTAGGAGACATTAGAGATCTCAAAGCCGCCTCACTGTCTGTATATATAAAGTTTAGTTTAGCTGAGAAGACACGGTCGCCCACTCG